ATCGAGGATTATTATAATAGAGCATTGTCAAATGCAGCATTATCTGGCCAATTCAAAAATCGAAAAAATAATGCTCCTCTTTATAGAGCTGTATTATCCAATAGAGCAGGATTATTTTAGAGCTCGGTTCAAAAATCCACCCTAGATCTTTCCGAAGGATTGCATTCCGTCAGAGGCGAGGCAATTTTTCCTTTTCGACGGGGAAGCAGTCGCAAATGTCGGAGCAGACTTCCCGCAGAGCCAATTTCAAAACTCGACTCACAGTGAAATTTGTGAAGCATCGGAAAACGTTAAAGCGACCTTCCCCCTCTCTCTCTTCGTCGCAAAGCCGGATAAATAGATCGGTCGTGACAGCCGATGAAGAAAATTCCAGGTCCCCTATTCCCGAATTAACAGACATTTCAACGACTCCAAAGGAAATTTGATCGCCATCGTATTGCCTGCATCACATTTCCTCGGCGAGTCACTTTTCACATTTTCTATCAGCCTCAACGGAAAAAAAGTGTATATTGCACTGGAAAATTAGGATTAGTTTACGCGAAAGCTGAATCCGTGATGAAGCTTGGAGAGCCGATGCCTTCGGGCAACTTGCGACTCCAAGAGCCTGTGAGTCGTACAAAGCGACCGATTGAATCAATTTTGCTCCATTGCCATTCCTCGATGCCGATTCGACGAAGAGAGAAAGAGAGAGCGCCAAAATTTCCGATGGAATTTCTGTGCTCGACCCGATCGTCGATACGATGCCTTTCCAGTGCGGCGTTGGCGGGGGTCTCGGCCCTGGCGATCCCCTTCGTGAAGGACATGGTCGGGATCTGCCTGGTGGCGTGCGTGTACGCGTACGGGCTCGGGTGCTGGACCGTCCACATCCCCGTCCTGTTGGTGCACTACCTCGGCGTCCGCAACATCGCCACCACGCTCGGCGCCATCAAGCTGTTCCAGGGCATCGCCCTCCTCACCTTTCCTCCCGTGCTCGGTCAGTGTTTCCTTCCGTTTCCTTTTCCTCTGTTTTTATTTTCTTTCGCGTTTTTCATCCGACTCACGCGAACGTCCCGGTGAAAATCCTCGTGATGGTCGCTTGACTCGCCTCGGGACTCTGATTCCGGAGAATATCTACGAATCCCATTTCGGTTGGATTGATTCATAGTGAGAAAAATTCAGGAAATGCTCGAGCATTTCCTGAATTTTGGTCGATCGACCAAGGCAACTGCAAACTCGTTCGATCGAAGGGATACAAATAAAAATCCGAAGCAAATTGTGAGTCTCGAGCGAACGGACGGACACAAGCCGAAACACTGTTTTCACTCGGGACGTTGTCGATTAAGTCGCAGTCGATGGAACCGCGATTTTTACCGCCTCGTTTCCTTCCTGCTATTTCTGCGCGGTTTTGCACGTGCATTGCGAAGTGTGCATGCGTGATTTTCAGGGTACGTGAAGGACCGGACGGGGTCGTTCTCCGGCTGCTACTACCTGATGGGGTCCTGCATGCTCCTCGGCTCCTTCCTGCTCCTCCTCGAGCCCAAGGTCGCTCGGATGAGGAGACAGAACCCCCGCCTTCAGCGCTCCTCTCCCGCCTGATCCTGACGGGTTTTCATTCCGTTTGCGCGGGTTTCGCCAGCAAGTTCATTCGTGAAGCACTTGACTTTAAAAGCTCGATGGCGAACAATCGTCTGATTAGAGCTGATATTGCCATGAAAATATTTTTACATTTTAAAGGTTGACTAGCATATTGGGTGAGAATTTTAACGATTTTACGTAAAATTAACAACGGGCAGAAAATAAATAAATAAATAAATAATAAATATGCTAAAATCCAGGGAAAACAGCCGGACTTCCATTTCTTGTGATCTTCATCAGTGACTTCATCGCAAGTAGTGATAACTAACGCTGCAGAGTACGAGATGTGATGCAAATTTTCCCTCCCCGGGGGATTTCGCGTTGATTTTTTTTTTGTTTTACCCGAGTTGTGGATACAGTATTCGTTGATGTCGGATCATGCCGTCCTGCGATGCGATGCCTCGTCCCGCGCGATCGCGGTCGGCCGAGATCGGGCGGTGGCGGATCTCCAACCTTGTGATTCCTCCGGACTTCCATGAAATGTCACTCGTGTGCGTCACTTAAAAGCATTGCTATATTTGAAAATTCTCACATTTGTCCGAACGGCTACAAATAGCAAGAGTGTGGTCTTTGACCGGCTAAATTTTGTGATTAGCTAATTTTGGTGATTTTTGATTGACATTATATCAAAATAGAGCAATGAGCACAAAAGTAATGAATTCTTTTTTTCCCCCACACTTTTCCTAGCAACTTTTCATAGAATTGATATGTACTGTAGATATGATGCATGTCGTGCTATACAATACTGTCGTACAATCCAGCCTTTTGCCTGTCGGCAACGTTGCAGTCGGTGGAATAAACTCTTATATATCCGTCTGGCACAATTTCTTTCAAGAAGAAGCGATCCATCTCTCGAAAAACGACCAAAGACCGATTAAGATCAAGCCGACGACCGACAGGGAAGATCCCCGTGCGTCGACCCCCAACGACACGGAAAAGTGGAAACAGCATCATGATCGCCTCGCTCCCCCGATCGCTCCTTCGCAGCGAGCTTCTCGATGGCGCGGTGAGGGAATCGGAGAATGCGTAGCCCAGCCGTTCGACAGAGAGAGATGACGAGATTGAAATCTTTCAGCTTAACAGTCATTCTTCCTCGCCGGCTCGTTCAGAGGATTTGACCGGCAGGTATGCGTGTTCTCCTTGTCGTGCGTCCTTAGCGTGAATGCCGGGGCGGGCAGACAGTCACCCGCGTGTCTACTTACATTCAAGGGTTTTCACAAAACGCAGGGCTTGCGTGTGGAATTGGGATGAGCCCGATAGAAAACGCAAGCCTTGCGTTCCGTGAAATTAGGAGACACGCGTGCGTCTGCCTACCTGCCCAAGCATCGGCGCAAAAGGACGCACGGCACGCTAAGTGCGAATCGGTCGGTGCTGGACAACTGTCGGATGTATCGCAGGTTCTCGTTTGCATCGGGGCTCCTGGCGAATGCTACCTTCATTTTCCCCATTGCACGACAGTTTCCAGTTTTACCGCGAGATTCAGACGCCGGTTATATTTTAGCGAAATTAAATTGTAGCGTCCCGAACCGGAATCCCTGGAGAAAGACTCTCGAGCGATTGGCTGCCTAGAGCATGCTGAGGAGATCTAGAGCAGGGGTGTCAAACTCGATAAGGCTGGGGGCCGGATGGAAACCTTCAGGGGTGATTAGGGGCCACAAGAAAAGCCTAATACCTCATCTTTTATGTAGACAGGCTGAAATTTGCAGTACTTTTCCGTAACAGACCGTTTAAGAGGACTTCTCGGGCCGGACAAAATGAACTGGCTGGCCAGATCCGGCCCGCGGGCCGCCAATTTGACACCCCTGGTCTAGAGCATGATGCAAGCACGAGGGGCCGTGAACTCATACACACTCGGCGTTGTCGGTATGCTCAGATAGCATTCTTGCGGAATATCGTCGTCGAATGGGCCATCTATCTTTTCCCTCTCATCGTATCTTCAATTCCTGAAGTGAGCGAAGGGGGTCGTCGAGGGATACACAAAAAACAAGGAAAAATGGAAACCGAACGCATCTGCCAACAAGGGCCTTCGTGTACTCTTTTCAGTTAGGAGGCTTTTACATCGGCTTTTTGTATTCACTTCTATATTTTCGGCCGTCTCCCTACAGATTTTTTTTTCCATCAACGGAATATGCAGGGCAGGCGGAACGTAGGCGAGCCGAGACACGTCGCACGCGATTTCGACGCCATCACCTCGTCATGCCCCACCCACGCGTGGCTATGCGGACCGATCCCTTCGCTCCATGGTGCTCGTCCGGTCCAGCTCTTTCGGTTCCTTGGCCCCTTCGCGTCGCTCTTCCGGTCGATTGTTACGCGAAACTAGACTTCGAAGTCGAACGACTGCAGCTGTGAGTAAAGTTTTACCGCTTTGGGAGCTGTTTTTGCCCAACGAGAAAAGAGGCTTGACGGATTTCCCCAGAGAGATGGCTCTTTCCGCTCCCATCTGTGCCATTAAAAAAATTGCATAGAAATCGTTCGAAGACGATGCATGGAGTCGCTCGAAAACCTCGAGACCGCGATGAACAGGTGCTTCCTAAAAAAAAAAAAAAAAAAAAAAAAGTCCACGCCGGGAGCACCTGACCGACGCGAGCAGCCCAAGTTCTGAAACGGCCACAGATCAACTTTATCAACTCTCCCAGCAAACTTTCACAATGAGTTTTCCTTTCCATGTCGAAGAGGCGCGCCTCGATACTTGAAAACTCCGTCATGAAAGGATTCCATTTTCATCTCGCCAGAGAGAGAGAGAGAATCCAATATTCGCAGGAGCGCCTCGGTGAGAAGAGATTACTTTCGAGTATCTAGCGACGACGATGAGATTTTATCACGAAATTGTCAATTGCGTGATCGGAGCGGCTTCGATGCACTCCCGCCGGAATCCTTATTGGAGTCTCAAGGCCGCGCCCGATCACATCTATCCGACTGTCATCCATCCTCACATCCGGCTTGCATCCATCGGGAACGTCGGGACGGGACGGCTGCGGTGCCTCGTCATCGAACAACGCACGGTCGAGGACGGTCGTCTTGAATTGTGGGCTTGAATTGACTGACTCGAATTGGGCACGAAGGTCTCCTAAAACGCAAAAAGCCTTCACTTTCGGGATCCGAGGTTCATCCGGCATTCCCGATCGAACTCATCCTCTCGTTTCCTCGCGATAAACGATTATAGCACGATAGCAGGAAGTGAAGGGCTCGCAAATTGAAACGTCAGGGTTGCCGGAAGTGATTCTTCTCTCGCCCTGGGTCGAAAGGCCCGTACGATGCTTCAGCCGAAGATTACAGATCGCCGAGACATCCACTGTGCACTCAATCGCCACACTGAAACGGGATGCCCTCTCCCCGTCTCGTCTGCTCCCATCGAACTCTTCCTTCCCGTCGCATCGAAGACTCTCCTTCGATCTCGTTCTAGAAGGTTCGAATGGAGTCCCATGCACTCGCGACCGCTAGCTCCTGGACCATGCGATGCGATAAGCGCTCGGCTCAGGCCTCGTCCACGAGTTCGCACGATATTAATTAGCCTATCAATGCGGCGAACTCTTGGAGCTATAGGCAGTGAGACTCGACGTGAGCTGGGATCGCGATGGGCCCGGATGGTTTCCTACGGTCACTCGACCCTCTGGCCTGCAGGCTATCATCGCAGCTGCCGCACCTTCGGAACAGGCGTAGGCAGTGCACCGGAGTGTTACTCCCAGTGTCGGATACGGAGGGCGACCTCCCCCCCTCCCCCCTCTTTCCCCCCATATGTCCAGGTTTGCAATTAATCTTGAAAATATAATATTTTGACATTTCTTTTTGTTGGGGCTTGTGAAATGAATCTTCAGGTTTTATCGCGAATGATGAATAAAAAAAAGCGGTATGCAGAAGGGAAATAGCTGCCCCCTTCCTGTGTCCAATTTCTGCATCCGCCACAGGTTGTTCCAGCATATACCGCGAAAATAACGGTGGTGTAGCGACTGCCGAAAAAGCAGCCGGGGTGAGACAGCATTGGGATGAATCCCCATCTATCCGCTGCTCCCGTGCACTCCATTGAGAAGTGGGTGCTCTAGACTCCGGTGACTCGTCGGAACGCTCGTAGGCTGGCCTACGCATTGGGTCTTTTCCGACCTCCGGGAGGACACGCTCCGGAAATGGAAACCACTTCGCGTGATTCTTCGTAGGATGATCGTGACGACGGGGAGGCGGCCAATAAGCCCGTTCATCTCCCGTCGACAGAGGCGTAGACAGTAGAGACGTAGAGCTGGCGTAGATGGGGTGAGGGAAAGATTTCATATGGTCAAATACAATCGGTGCACTAGGGACCTCTCGATGATCCAAAAGCGGGAGGATGCGGAAGCAATCTCCAGATAAAGGCATAGTCGTTTCACTTTACTTCCAAATTAGTCTCGTTTTCAGTATAAGTTGATTCAGTTAGAGAGAGGACAGTTAGACACTGGTTTAGTTTCAGTTAGTCGGGTGTGAACTAAACTGAAAGTTATTTCACGTGGCCGGTTTAATTACAGTACAATTAACTTTAGCTAAACTGATCTAAAGATAAACCAAAACCACAACTAAACCGGACGACGCAAAATGACAACATGCTGCACAATTTACAGTATAATCTTGAACAGCGGTTCCCAAACTGTGGGTCGCGACCCACTGGTGGGTTGCGAGAGGCATCAAGGTGGGTCGCGTACATTTTCCCAGTATAAAAAAAATCACTACATCAGCATCCGCTCAGGGTAAAACATGCCCTGCAGAAATGGTCGATCGGTTTTCTTCACGTCATAATTACTTTGAAAATACCTCGTTCTGGATTCCTGTGGGTAGCGAAATTTTATGTTCGTCAGCAAGTGGGTCGCGATTCAAAAGAGTCTGGGAATCGCTGATCTAGAACGTCCCGAGACGGCAGCGCCTCGTACGACTGCGCCCGCGAGTTTCGTTTGGACTGGAGGACGCCAGGGCAGGCACGGGAGTGAGCCGTGGAGTGGTCTCGCGATGGTCTGGAGGGGGAGGATGCGCCTGTAGAGGCATCTTCGACTTCTTCGAGATCTTCGACTGGGGACGCGGAACCTCGGAGGTACCCGATTGACGTCACTACGAATGCCGGAAGACTCGTGGAGAAAATACATAATGGATTTTCTGGAAAACGACGGCGCGAAGTGCTCGTTCGTTACGTAACGTCAAAAGAGTACCCAACGCCCCGAATGAGACGGATCGGATGAGAGAGACAGGCACACTTTAATGCCACTCTCAAGGCGAAAGTAGCAGTATTCCATGTATGCATATACAATATGTATACACGAACGTCGGATTGAATATCGAGGGCCCGAAGGTCTCCTTTCAGTTCTGAACGCTGTTGCTCGAGCGTGTTCTTCGCGAGCGTAGTGACCACGAAGCCTCACGATACTATACGATAAAACGTCTGCCCGTCGTCTTTCGTGGAACTCACGGCAGTGGATCGGGCATCGTCTTTGCAGACACGAAGATGGTGAGATCCGAAGCGTGCGATCCTCCCGATGGAGGCTGGTCCTGGGTCATTCTCTCGTCTGCCTCGATCGTCATGGTGCGTTTCCGACTCGCTTCCGAGGGTTCTTCTCCCCGGGTACGTGAATGTCTGCTGGTGCCGGCAGTTGCTGGCCACTTCCATGCGGAGCACGTTCGGGCTGCTGTTCGGGGAGTTCCTCCAGGACATCCAGGCGGATCCGGTCTTCTCTTCGCTCATATTTAACGTGACGCAGACCGTCTGGTTCACGGCTTGTCAGTCTCTGGCTCCCTTCGCTCCGGAAGGTCTCGGGGACGGTTCGATGCATCGGTCTCTCTCTTTTGCCCGGCAGGTCTGTTCGTGGGGTCCATGTGCACGGTGTTCTCGCACCGGCTGGTGGTGCTGGTCGGGGGATCCTTCCTTTTCCTTGGCATGTTTTCCACCGTCTTCGTCACCAGTGCCACCCAGATGTTCTTCTCCTACAGCTTGTTTACAGGTACAAATGGAAAATAATTTGGGTTCTGAAGCGTTAAAATTGTATCCCATTAATCGTAGGATACGTAATCGACCGATCGAATATTAATCGACAGCTAGTGCCCTCTCTATATTTTACAAGTGAGAGATAGGCTTGATTTTGAGGTTCTCCTGGCTTTTTTTTTGCATTATTCCGTTCCCTTTTCCGAAAATATAATTTTTTTTTGGTAACGAGGCGTGCAGGAACAACTTATGCCTTCTGGGTCACTCAATCCCAATTCACCCGATGGGGAAAAAATTGCCTTCTATAAGAAATACCAATAACAAAAAAAATTAGCTATATAGATTTTTAATAGAAGTCGCTTCGTCTTTTCTCCAAATTGTATGGGAAGTAGAAGTTAGAAAATATTTTGGGTAGGGCTTATTTCGTAAAAAAAAATAGGATTCATTGGAAGACTCATCTGGAAAAGTTGCAAAGTTGCTCAATGAAATGGCCAATTTTGGCAAAATGTGACATTTTCCATCAGTCACTGTAAGTGCCTGCTAAATGAAATTGCATAAATGCCTGTCTTACTGGCAGCAGGCTTCTCACTTCTCCCTGGGGAGGCTTCATTTTCACAGGTTTTTCTTAGGCGAATTGCACTTTGAAAATTGCAAAACCACGGAAAACGTATTGTCACTTCTCCGATCTGCCGGCTTTGATTCTCATTTTAAAAAGCCAGAGGTTTCATATTTTTCATATTTTCATATTTTTTTCGAATGCTGCTGAGTTGAACTTGGTTTCTCTGCTTTAGGTAAGAGTTATGAATTGTAATTTAAAAGAAAAAATCAACTCATTGGTCATTCCATCCCAATTCACTCGAGTGGATATTCTCAGACAAAAGTTGCTCATTCACAGACTTCGATTCTGATTCTGACTTATTTGATGAAAGACAATCGCAATAGGAATCTTTGTGAATTTTTTTTACAAAAGAATTTCGGTATCAAAATAGGCCAGAGAACTTTAAAAAAAATTTTCTTGTTGGGGACCTAGATTTCAGAAAGTATGATATTTCAAAACCTCATATCTGCAATTATACAATCAAAAATACTTATTTTTTTTCCCTGGAAAACAAACAACGCCACGACGTTGAATGTGATGTCACACCTCGAAATAATCTCCGTAGTTGTCACCATTAGCAGAAAATATTTTTGGGGGAGTATATTCCTGTGGGGAAGTCGCTGAATACCTGCAGCCTCGGTGGAATTTGTGAACGTATATTTGGAGACAAATTGACATATTGTTCACAAGCATCTACCAATTCATTGATAGTGTCCGCTGTTTTCCCTTCTCTGTAGAGACAAGAAGTAGACCATAGCTCTCAGTTTTATTTCCTAAAGTAAGCCATATTCACCAAACGTCTGAAACAAATCAGAACTAATTTCGTTTATAATTTTTATTTTATTTTGTACATAATAATATGATTATTATGAATACCTTGCATGCAAAGTATCACCAGATTAACATGATAGGGTGTGTAGCAAACACAAGAAGCAAGAACATAACACAATTAGTATTTCTCTCTGCCAAGGTACGAGTACATGAAAAACAAAATCGATTGCATACGTTCAGGGATAGGAGTGTCGTGCTGCGTCTCGGGTTCCTTCCTCATCCTGCCGATATACTTCAACCGTCATCGAGGCCTGGCCCTCGGCTGCTTCAATGCCTCGGCCTCCATCGGCCGCGTCCTGTTTCCCTTGATCATCGATGCTCTCTTGTCCTACTATGGGAGCCGGGGGACTTTCTTGATCCTGTCGGGCGTGGCAGCCAACACGCTGGTGGCTGCAGGACTCTTGCATCCCATCGAGAGGCACTGCCGTTCGGATAAGGGGTGTCACCGGCTCCTGCCTAGGGAGAAGGCGCTGAAGCCTCTGCTCGCAAAGGAGGTGGAGAAGATGCAGAAGGGGCTGAGGAATCCTCTGCTCTTGCTCGTCACGCTGTCGGATTCGCTCTTCTGGATGAGCTTCTCCAACTTCAACTTTCTTCTTCCCATCTTCGTCCAGGAGAAGGGATTCGGTCGGCAGCAGGCGGCCGTGCTTCTCAGCGTCGCTTCCTCCGTAGACATCGTGGCCAGGATCGGCCTTCCCGTCCTGGTCGACCGGAAACTCGTGCACCCCAGGGACGGGTATATCGCCGGGCTGGTCATCGTCGCCGCTTTCGCCTTTCGTGAGTCGGGAAAACATCTAAACTCAGCTTTGGGCGAGATGTGAGAGGCAAAGAATTTTCGTTCTGCAATCAACATCACTCCTTTATTTTAAAAGGCTATTAAGGTCTACCAACAAAAAAAAAAAAACACAACAGAGAAAGGAACAGAAGATTTTTTGCCAAGTATACAAGAAAGATCCACGATGCTTTTTTTGGCTGCTACTTTTCAGTTTAATTCTATACTCTGTTCAGTTACTGGGCTATATAGCCGGAATCAACGGCAGTGTTCGTATTCGCAGATGCGACTGTCTCTAGAGATGCTTGACAAATGGCATACTAAACCTAGGTTAACCCCATGCATTTAAAATTAGCCTTGTCCCATCAACCATTTATTGGGTTTGATAGTGGAACAAAGTAGCCAAGGTTTAGTCACTCCTTCATCAATTAGCCTTGAAAAATAAAGACCAGAGCAGGAGAGTCGAGTTGAACCTTTCACTGGTAGATGTAGCTGAGAAGTGTCTTTCACCAGCCCTTCCTTGCAGGGTCGGACTGGCCCACCGGGATAACGGGAAATTCCCCCCCCCCCCTCCCCACCTCCCAGAAGGGAGAAGGATTAATCCCTAACGTTCAAAATGATGCCGAAACGGAAGGCATTTCCAATGTCTAAAGTAAAACTGAGGGTGGCATCCATTATTGCTTCACATATTCAGTCACGTTTTGGCGCCCCTGGTGAATTTGTGCCCTGCGTGGGGGCACATGTGGCACATGCCTAAGGCCGGCCCTGTTTGTCAATGTCGGCAATTTCTCGGGGGGGCCTAGGCCGCCATTCCGACCCTGCTTCCACATCTACATTCAATGCTGCAAGTTGCAGTGAAGGTTCCATTTTCTTGCAGTCTTGCCTTCTCTGACGACCTCCATGTCCTGGTTGGTAGCCTTGAGTGCGATTTATGGGATAGGGTGTGGAGCAGCCGTGTCCCATTACGGTCTTCTATTGGTGCACTACTTCGGGCTGGAAAATCTCCCCGTTGCCAGCAGCCTCACCATGTTCTTCAAGGGCATCGTCGTGCTCGGCCTCGGGCATCTCATCGGTCTCTCTCCCAATCGTATCCGCATCCTTTGCTGCATCTTTCGCTTTCGATTGCTTATGCCGCTCGTTTCTCTTCAGGTGTTCTGCGAGACTCGACGGGACAGTATGACGCAAGCTCATATTTGCTTGGAGGAAGTTTGGTCCTTGCAGCGGGCATCTGGGTATTTGAACCCTGGATCACATCCAAGAATCGAGAGAAGTCAATCCAATCCATCCAGGCGCAAGCCTCAACCATTTGACCTCAGTGAAGGGTGCCCTGTCACATGTCATGGACACCTGATATTTTATTACAGTGCCGTATAAGTGGCAACGATTAAATAGAATTTGTCATTTCCATTCTAATTTTCACTTTCTTTTTTAGAGATCACACATTTGAACCAGAGATTTCACACATATCGAACCATAATTTACTTTCTGAGACTTGTAAAGGTAATTGAAAGGGGTTGAGGTATTCTTGCAACCAAACAAACGTTTCACTCTACAACAGAGACCTAGGCTCCTAAACAATTTTGACTAATGTTTTATGAACTCATCTTACTGCAGTCAAGGGGCGTCAGCCAGAAGCACGTTCTATAACATAAACAAACGTTGGCATAACGATAAAATGTCCCTTGTGGAAGCACTCAAGCAACGCTGGCACGAGAGCGTTGAAGCAATGCTATGACAACGTTATGTGTGTTACGCTTGATCGGGACGGCTGGCCTGCAACCTGGCAGTGACTCAGAGAAATAAAAGTTCGCACGACTGAAGCGAGGTGATACCAAATTAGCCGCTGAAGCGAGTCGATACCTGATACGACTGCGATTCGTTCCTAATACTTTCCACACGGTATCCAATCTTTCCTCACAGACACCGTGGGGGAAGACGTTCAAATTCCACTAATTCGTCTAAAGAGGTAACCCAATACAAGGTGTCCCTAGGAAACTCTGGCTCGGGGGATGGAGTGAGGATCTTTCACCCTGCGGTGACTCCATGAGAAACTGACGTAGAGTGAATCATCATTTCACGGGGTACTGCCTAACCCCTTGCGCGATGGAGCACTTAATGCGGCTGAGGCACTTTGACACGCAACTATGGAGAAGCATCATTCCCAAGAGCGCTGAAGGCATGATAGCATAACCTTGAAAGGAACGTTACTTGAACATTCATTAAGCGTTCTGGTGCAACTTGGACACGTTTAATTAGATTTTATAAATGAACGTAGGAATAGCATTCATCCAGCGCTCTCGGGTTTTAACGTTGCTTTGAGCGCTTCTAAACGGGACAGTTCAACGCTCTGCTAACGTTCGCTGCGATGCTGGTACAGCATCAGAAGGGAACGTTGTCATAGCATTTCTCCAACGCTCTTGTGTTTGCTGGGTGGTGACTCATCTGAAAACAAGGGTCCGTTTTCTGGAAGTACCTACATTACAGCTAAACTACTGTAATATAGGAACTACTAAAAGCACATTGACACTACTGAAAATGAAAATAGCATGCACTTTCCAGCGGGCAAAACTATTAATGGCATTGAAAGGATTTGAATAAATAAGGCTTATGCACTCCTCAAGGTTTCTGGTAGCTGAAACTCCCTTGGAGGTATTTTTTGCTGTACTTTTCCCAATCAAGGAAGTGTAACACTAGCCCTAATCTTATGCCATGCTCACTGAGTTTGTGTCACTGGATGTTTTGCAAAGACCTTGAAATCCTGTTCAATAGTGTTATGCAATGTAACTTCTTGTTGCTACTACAAACCATATTTACATACCCAGGGTTAGACCTGCTTTACATGGCAAGGGATTGACAAGCTCTTGCTATACTTAGTCCAGTTCTGATAATCTTTGTACAACTTGCAAAAACTATATCATTTCTTTTTGGGCAGGTATAAGCTGTCATTTTAAATGCTATTACATTGTATACAATAACTGATAAAAGCACATCTCTAAACTACTATTACAAACCATTCAGCCATTAATACAATGGCAATTGGACCCCATGCTGAAGCTCAAATTATGGAGAGCTTGTTTAATTATATTGCAGGTCTTTGTCTACATTTTTACTACCAAGCACACATCCATTTAGTCAGGTACTCTTCCATGATGAGGATTAAAAAAAAAAGCCATGGACTCTCATCCTACAATAGATCTTTGCAGGGGTCCAGAGGGACTTATCTAAGGAGTGGTCAAACAATTGAGGCTGTTGGCTCTTCCCTAAGTATGCATGCTCTAGGGAAATAAGAGTGACTAGGAAATAGAATAATCTGGTTTCTTCCTCCCTCCCCAAAATTCAATGCACCCTGTGCTCTTTTGTTTATATTAATGTGCCTGATAATGATAATCTGACATATGGTTTTTAGTGTGGGGTGGACACATCCTCATGCCAAGCACATTTTGGTAAGTCCTGACATGAATGAATTTTACCAAGTTCCATGACTGAAATCCCAAAAAGCATTTCAATGAAATCAGTGGAAATCTTTATTTCGTTGCATAATGTTCCAATAACTACTTTTCAATTTAAATTTTCTTCAGGAATTCAATATCACATACAGCAGGTGAGATATGTTCAATGGGCCCAAGCAGCATCCATGAATGTATTGCAGACACTCATTGGAATTGTAGATCTCTGGAGTGCAAAGTCAGTAACAGGATGAAAAAAAGCTAAGACTAGTGAAATACCTCTGAGGAGTTGATACTGTCTACATTTTGGTCACTGCTCCCATTACACTATGCTGCATACCAACAGTATAGGATGACCATAGAGTCTGGAAACAATGGCCTGTTAGTTATTGTGGGTGACCATTACAGTTGTCAATCCTGGTTTTCAAGTCTGGAATTCCTTATATTAAGACACTGCTTCTATCTTGCCAAAAAAATCTGTGAATTACCTAGCAGTATTGCATATCCTGGTGAGGGACTTCACATATGATTTACTTGGGAATAGCAAAGGACACATGGCACGTTCTTATGAAGCCCACATATCTCTGAATTTTTCAATAATGGATGCAACATGCTCCAACGTTTGTGAATCCAGTTCATTCCACTTCAGCTCAATCTCACTGAATTGCAACATCTCATAGCCTCAGAAAGGCAACCAATTTACAGGAGGCTGTATCACTTGAGAAGTTGGCAGACAGGAGGCTGAATCACTCGGAAATAGATGATGCATAGACGCCACTCATGAATCATCCAGTCAAGTGCTTCCTTCCATAAATCTGTGCCTTCTTCTCAAATGCAGGCGATCGGATGGGTGTGTCATGCTCATAGAAGGGATTCATGGAATACTGAAAGAGAAGATTGAGCAAAGAACCACTTGAATTGCCCCATTCAGACTCAGAACAAGCATTGAGCAGTTAAGCTCAGTTCTCACCTTTATGTAGGTCTCATACAATTCAGTGAAAAAGTTTCTAATTCCATCATCATTCTTCACATCATGGAGCATCACAAAGCGCATGGTTCCAGCAGTCACGTATGCCGACACAAACCATTCGTTGAATTTATCCACCATCTTGAAGTAACTCCCTTGGGTTGTCCACATATGCTCATCGATGAGATCCAAGGATGCATGTGCGATGAACTCGTTCAAGTGCCTGTGATCATCCCTCTGAAAGCAGAACATTCATTCATTTATTTCTTAGAATTTAGAATTCAACTGCAAGTATTGTTAAAATTAAGCTGATGAATGTAGAGTGAGAATAGATAGGTCTGAAACCCCAAAAATCTCGACACAGAAAAAGGAAAACCTTGGCAAAGCATACCTTAGGTTCCTTGTTCGGAGGCGTGAACTCCATTTCGAAGACGGGGTTGTCATTATGACCGACGATCGCGAAGTAGTAGTTCCCAGACATTCTCCTTGTGCACTTACATAAATCGGCTCACAAGAAAAAGCACTAAAATAAAAACAACTTAATTTTCACGCGCTGACGGATTGCAGCAGAGAAGCAGCATGCTTGCAGAGTGGCGACATGGGAGCCGCCATGCTTTCCTCGCGAGGCTGCCCATAGCGATCTCTATGAAGCTGCCCATAGGCGAGTTTTAATCCAGGGTGTGCCACATGCCACGTTTTTCCGGCCAACCCGGCATTATTTCCTGGAAGTTCTGGGGGGAAATCCCTGGTCTGAGAAATGTTCATGTATGGTGAGCATGATGGGTGAGATTTTGTTATATGTATAGTGCTGAGGGCCTTTCCCCAGGTTAGATGATGAACCCGTTAAGACACTGTCCCAGGAATTGCCGGAACTATTGTGATAGTGATAGTGATATATATAATAGATTTTTCACTCTCTTATGCTTTATTCATTTGTGAAGATGATTCCGATGCCGCTGGCTATTTTCCTACTTTGGATACTCGTTCACCAAATTGGAGTCGTTTACGATCCCTTTCTCTTCTGTCCCGAAATGTGAGCACGCACATCGCAGCATTCTTCACTTTTCCATCGCGTACGCATTACCTTCTTCCACTAGTGAACGAGAAACTTTGCTTCGTGATCCATTCGCTAGCTCGAATTTCGCTAGGCTCACACGACTCGGCCGAAACCTGTTGAAGTGCCTCGGAAACACGGCTCTGACATCGGTGAATATCTCTTTCTCCAAAATGGACGGCTTTAATGAATGTTAAAAGGGGAATCTCCTCCTTCTGTCTTGATTATCGAGTCGAATTCTTAAGCGGTTTACGCATCAAGTTGAACTATACGAAATCCTGGATGAGATCCTCCTCGCTAATTTTTCCTTAGTATAGTGACCCGATTTCAGTCTCGCAAAAGTCTGTAAGGCTCCAATTGGAACTCAATTCTCTGGCTACGGTGCCACGTGTGAGGGATGAATTTTTAAAATGTCAGAATTCATCATTTTTGCCCCAGAGCGGTGCCAGTAAGATACCGTCAGACTTTGGCAGAATTACAGGACAGACCAGTGAATTTCTGGTCTGTTCTTGCAGTTCTTGCATTGCGGATTGCGATGCGTCCACGGACCAGAGGAGGCTGTTTTCCTGTTGATTTTAATGTGCAACGGAGGAATGCCGGCCACGAGATATGCACGTCATTTCATCAAACATATGGCGACCGTCTGCACAAAATTGCCGAGTGCAAGTAGCACGAACGGCTCAACGCGGATCATACCGGTTTTATGGAAAACCCTCTCGCTGAAGCCATCGGCGAGGTCAAAAAATGCCTGTTACGTCGGAGCACCCATCTGAGGCAAATTCGTCGCCTGGTGCAAGTCTCAGAGGCGGTGTCTAAAAGTTGCGTACTGAAGTCAACATGGCAGTGCTACTGAGTTTCCATCCACGAATTCGCGAATCCACATCCTCATCTGTAAAAGGAACACCTACTTTCATAGCTTTCGTACATTTGCCGATCTCACCCCCTGCTCATGGTCTCGATCATTAACGTAGACTTGAAGAAGGTCGCTCAGGGCTCTCAACATCCGAAAGCGTTTCCCCATTCACTAATACTGCAATTAACCGATTTATCGCCTTATCTTTAATCCCGATGTACTTCTAATATTCATCCATAAACTTAACAGAAATGATGCTAATGTCTCTGCGGTGGAGGATATGCCACTGATGTACGTGCAATAACGCCTGAGCTATAACGTTCCCAACCTAGATTATTTGAACGTGAATAGGACTTATGACGTCAAACGCCAACTCTTGGGCTTAAAGTTGGGGCTGATCGAATTCTGCCTTCTTGAACTTGCATGAAATAAAGGAAGATTTTCTGTTATTCAATTCGATGGGTCTCGAGTTTTCCTAGTCTGAGCAGTACAAGCAATCAGTGACGTTCTTCATGTATACACCTAGGAAGGGGAATATGAAAATGAGAGTTGTGAAAGGAATTGCCTTGGCATGAGCGAATGAACTGCTCTATACCACAGTGCACTTTGCTTAGGCTCACTCCTTTATGGTATTTACAATGCGCCAGATGCAGCGGCTGTGCTCCACGGTGAGCTCGAGTTCCCGTTACACTCGTGGCTTAGTGGGTCGAGGTGGTGGAGCGTAAGATCGTTGGAACTCTTGGATTCGGTGCGATTCCCTTTCTCCTTTCATTGCCGACTCTTTAGCTCGGCTACTCAAAGTCAACGCGATTTGAAACAGTTCTGCTGCAGAAGGCCCATCTTTTCTGGGCTAAGTTAGGCCAAACGGTAGACAGGTAGGTCTGGCATAAAATTAGTTCCTCTTCCAAAGAAAGATGAGAATAAGGAGTCCTATCAACTAGGCCTAAATAATTTGTGTGTTGTCTGTATCTTTATAATTTCCTCAATTAATGGAGGAAATATAGGGAGACCCATAGCATGGTAAGGAGGCCTAGCCTACTTCCCTGTTCAGTACTGATGCAGACCTACTGGGCTGGTCCAAAGCTGAAAATTAGTCCATGAATTGATCTAGGCCAAAGGTTTATTACTAGCCCTTCCCATGTAAATGGGCTTATGGTGATGCCTAAGATTTGTAATAGGCTTAAGGCACCCATTGATCACCTTGGCTGCTTATTGCCAGGTTTGCCCAGCCACTTACTGGGTGCATCCTTCTCATGTTCTAGCTGGTTAGCTTTATTTTCTAATGCTTGTTTTATCTCTTAGTCCATTTTAAAAATATAATATATATTTGTACCCACTTTGAAGGTGAATGCATTCCTAATATTGTACACTGTGGTTACCCACTTCATGGAGAGTACTGGCAATATGCTTTTGCAGCTTTAAAAGTAAAGAATGGGGAATCTGTCCACAAAATTTTCCTTGAGTCCATCCCATAGAGGGAAGTCCAGATGGCGAGGGAAGAGATCTGCTGACCTCTTAGATGCTGAAGTTACTGCTGTTCTTCACACACCAAAGAAGATGAAGATGAATATTGCTCCAAGCACCAGTGGTGGCAGTGGCAGCAGGACAATGTATAATAATATAGGAGGTCGCGATATATATGTTAGTTGTCTGGGGAATACATGGCACTTGCACAAGGTCATCCTTTCTCAGAGTCCATATCTGAAAAGGATGATGGAGAACAGTCAAGATGAGGATAAACTGACCTTAGATGTTGAAGATTTGAACATAGCAGTTTCTGATTTGGATGGAGTTTTCTGCTACATGTATGGTCAAGAAGGACCCATGGAGGAAAATGAGGAAGGGAGAGCTGCTGTGTCCTCTCTCTTTGAAATGGAAACACTCACAGAATTATACTGTGACATCATGATTTCTAAACTCTCCCACCAAAATGTGGTGAAGTACCTCATCACAGCTCATCAATGGAAACTGGATAGAGTTGAAGAGGCCTGCAAGGAATGGCTCTGCAATCAGCTTGTTTTTACTTCTCATCTCATTCAACAATTCCAGGATATCAGCCCAGAGGTGATGATGTGTCTCCTCAGAGATGGAAGCCTTGTGACTCCAAAGGATGAAGGAAATGTTTATGCACTTGCAAAAGGGTGGATTCAGAGTCAGAAGCCTGGGAGACTAGAGAAGGAAATCATTGAAGAGGTGCTAGGCTGTCTGCGGATGGAATACCTGTGGCCATCATGGGTATCCTCCACAGAAAAGAGTCTGATTCCTGACTCTTGGATGAAAAACATTGAAGAGAAACTTTACTCTGAGGCCCTCAGTTCTAGGATTCCTTCTGAGTCTCCTGTTTCAGAATTAAGGAATGTGTGTGATGAACAAGCTTTTGGCAGCATTTGTAGGAGAGAAGGAAAGATATTTAACTCAGGAGAGGAAGTATGGACCTCAATGAATACAGTGGATGGTTTGTGGATGTCAGGAAAGATATGTCCTGGAGATGGCAGTACTGGGAAGGATTCTGAGTCTGGAGTGTTGGTGACCATGGAGACAAGAGGGAGAGGATCTCACATCTTAACCATCCAATACAGGTTCAGAGTGCTACGATTATCTCAGAGGGGCAAGATTGTGTATGAGAAGAGCATAGGGTTATCACTTGTAACATTAGAAAAGAACTCAGCTGCCTCAACCCAAGTCTTCCTTGCAGTCCCTAAACACCTTTTAGGGTTCCCTCTGGTCTTCAGTGCTTGTCTCTATACATTTTCCCAGTGACATGTGAAGACATCATTCATTGTGATGTAAATCATATCAAAGATCTCTCCTGAACAGATTTGTCTGTGAATTGCATATTTATGCAAAAAAATTTATTTTACATTCCTCACCTTTGTCTCCTCCACTGCTCATGTTTGCATATGACTATAATCTTATTATTGTGATACATAATATATTACGTTAAGGTGGGGAATTGCACTTTTGAAGCACACACAACCTTGGAGGGATTGCTTGGAAGAAAAAAATTTTGAGATTAACAATTCATTGCAGAGTGGTTGATCAGAGAGTGGGAATTGATGCAACCATATCAATATATATGCAACCCTTGCAGGCATGTGTCTGTTGAGGCTGAAACCTCAGAAGGGCTACAAACTGAAAAGAGAAACCTCTTTTTCTGAAGTGTCATGCTATATTGGAACAATTGCCTTTCAGCTTTATATTGCAGTTCTGAAGTTGCATTTTCTTTCTTTGGGGCCAAAGTTGTGGAGATCATTCCAACTTCTGGGGGAGTGAATGAGATATAATTCAATTTCCCTGTTAAACAATAAATTGGGACAAGTGCACTCCAGCTGTACATTTATAGATACCTACTCAATCTTGCTTCTTTATTCTTTCTGATTAGGGATAGTCAAACCATGGATTGACATTGCAAAAGGAAAACTGCTTATGGATCTTCATTTGCAAATGATTGACTTTGCCTAGCTCTAGTTGATGGGGAGATAGAGATGTAGCTGGATATCAATTTAGAGCTATAAACAATAGAATTTTCATAGCCTACAAATTCTGAAAGAGCAGTGAGGAATATGAGAAAGAGGGGACTTGGGACTTGTTCACAATACAAATATTTTCTAAAGATACCATACCTCTGGCATTGGAGTCAGAGTTTTTCCTTTAATCCTTTCACTGTCATAAAAAAAAAGCTGCCATCCCCCTTGTGTAATAAAAATTGTCACTGCTTACCTGAAAACAGTAGTTTATGTAAGAGAATGTCATATCATGATAACTATTGAAGATAGCAGTTAAATGCATAAATAGTGGTGAAATAACAGTGAATGGTCTGAGCCTGAGAACATACCTGGGCGACCACTACACAAGCCCGAATATTTATTTGGGCAAACAGCCAAAGGGTTAATTACATGCTTGAGGTTGGTGGAAAATTCTGTGATTACCAGTATCCATTAGGTTGAAATGAAAAATATGAAACTAGAAATCAATTTGAAGAAGTTGACTGCAGTGGTCTTGTGATGTCAGTTCATTCTGAATTTTAAGTTCTCCAGTTTTAAAGAGTCAATTGAATTTTTTTGAATCAAGTAGTCCCTAACTAGCTAGTACTACTTTAAAAGTTGCATAAATTTTCATAATATTCAATTATTTTGGTGTTGAGAGGATTAATGTTTGTTAGACTCTGATATACAATATAGTGTGACCCAGCACAGCTGAATACTGCAGCTCTGTGATTAACAATTTTTCTTTGAACAGGTTTTCAGCAGTTTGCACAGAGTATGTGTTGCCCATTCATTTTGTTCATATAAACTAATGGTGGTCAAGAATCAGGAGCAAGGATTCTGTCAAGTATCCCTAGTCCAGAAGAAAAGAATACCTAATGGGTTCCTCAAGTATGCAAGGAAGCACTGGTCTTGGCCTTTGCCTTTTTCTCATGTTACTGGGTCAATTCACCACAGTAACAGGGATGATTGAAGGCCTTTACTGCGGACTAGAAAATTGCTATGATGGTATGAAGTATGAATCTTTCTTCAATAGTTTTATTGACAGATCATGCCAGATTTTTTTTTTTTAAGCCCTCTTGGTGCTCCCTCTTCCTTTCCCATCTAGATGAGAGAAGAGTGCCAGAAGTAGTAGTAGTAGTAATAAATGTAGTAAATAGTAAAGTGAGGAGTTTCTTGAGATGAAGTTGTAAGTGATTAGCTCAAATTGCCTTTCAGGTACTCCTATTTCTGTAATTCATCTAGGCTATCAGTCATGTTCTCAATTATGCACAGAAATATTCAATTTGTGTGATTATGAAATTACATGTCTGTGTAACTGTAACTCACTGTAATTGATTCATGTTAGAAATTATTCATAGCAATGAGTTCTTCGTGAAAAAGGGTAGCTGAAGTTACATGTCATAACTCTAAGATTAGGCCTATATGACAACTTAGACTGCTTTCATCAACATGCAAAGAAAGATTAAAAACTGCATTTGAGGAGAAATCCTGACATTCATGGTCTGAATAATCAGGCTGCCCTATTATGTTTGATATATGGTTATGTTATGGTTAATGATTTTCTTTGTGCCAAAGTAAAGGAAATTTCGACATGGAAAACTCATTAAAACCCATGAAGGCAATAAGTAACAAAGTTTACTGGATCCAAAAGTTCACTCATGAAAAAATGAATAGAGCATTTTAAAAAGGATAAAAGAAGGATCAGTCAAAAGAAAGAATATGCTGTGATTAGCCAATTGGATTTCATTTTTATGAATTTCTAATGATGTAGTTCTACTGATAATCTGAGTTAAGTATCCAGGAATCAGGAATACTGTAGGGTGTATCATGGAAGACTGACAATTGAAATTAACAAGAAAAACTTGTTTGCTGATCATTCTCAATTTTTTTGCTGGTTAATATTCTGCAAGCTTTTGAGTTTTATCTGCCATAAAAAAAAGGGAAGTAGTTTATTTTACAAGGATTGTGGACCTTTTTTGCAGCAAGCTCCATTGTGCAAGCACAATGTGCATTTTGATGTGAGTTAGGTGTTGGAGATGCACCATCTCGCAACACAATATTGTAGTACATCAATAATTTTTTTCTGATTCAGGATCTGTGGGCAATGCAAAGCACAGAATTTTGCACGAAAAAAGAAACAAATCCACAATCTTTGTACTTCTAATTTTTTCATAGCAGATAAAACTTTAAACCACTGAGAATGTTACCCTACAAAAAAAAATGAGAATGACCAGCAAACAAGTTTCTCTTCTAAATGTCAAATGTGTCAGTCTTCTCTGACATACCCTGTAACAATGTGATTTTGAGAAAACTCAATATTGGCCTTGTATATTGAGGAGGAGGTGACATTTCACGAATTTTTATGTTTCTCTGTTTATTTTATTCGTTACAAGTTGGAATTATTTCCTATCTTTTGCAGTATTGGGAGTGACAAGAGATTCAGCAAAGAATGAAATTGCTAGGGCCTATAGGGCACTGGCCCGCAAGCATCATCCTGACATGCACAAGACACCTGAAGCAAAGAGTGAAGCTGAAACCATGTTTAAGCTCATTGCTACAGCGTGAGTAGACCTTTATAGCTAAGCAGCAAGGACTTATGTCCTTGCATTTGGTTTAAAGTTCCATGAATCCTCCTAATATGTACAGGAAAGGTATTATTCATTTGACTGACAGAAAATTTTGCTTATCTTTCAGATATGAAATCTTGAAGGATGATGAGGCTCGCACTGACTATGACTACATGTTGGACCACCCTGAAGAATTTTACAGCCATTACTATCGTTACTACAGGAGACGGATGGCCCCCAAGGTGGACGTCCGCATTGTGATAGGAGTGACAATCACTATAATCTCTGCCTTCCAGTATTACACTGCCTGGTTTAGGTGAGATCTCCATGCATTGGTATTTTATAGAAAAACTAGATCATCCAGTTATTTACTTATTATTTCATGAAGCCGTTGGACCTAGCACCTTCCTGGAAAATATGAACTTGAGATGCTAGACCAGAGAGAATCAAGATTCTCACCTCTTGTACATCAATATTTACTAGTTTGAGGTCTAGCTTTCTACTGCCTTTATGCAGTGCTTCTGTTTAGCTGCCTAGAGAAATGAAAATGGGGTCTCTAAACTTGATAGGGCCTATTCTTCTGGTTCAGCTCTACAGAATCAGAGAGGTTAGTAGATATTACAGACCAACAATCATCACTAAGTTGTCGAAAGTTCCTTCATGAATGAACTATGAATCAGGAGAGAGCAATATGTGGTCTTGGTATGACCAGATGAAGAAGCAATCCAAAGACTCATTGAGTGGATGGCTTGTGCATGATCTTTCTTTCTTTTTTGCTATCTCTCTCTCTCTCTCTTTCTTTATGAGTCATGTCATGTGCATAACCCAACAAAATGTATTTAACTCATGTGAACTTCTGCCTTGTGTTTTTGGCAGCTTATGAGTTCATGTCAGTTTGCAAGTTAGTTCTTGTAGGTTTGGGGTGACCCTGCCACCTCTTGTCAGCCTGTGTTATTTGGAGACAGATTTATGGGACTTGACAGACCTCACCATTTGATCTTGACACTTCCTTTGCCTCTTCTGTGGTATAAACCAGTCTTATTTTTATTTCTCCATTGGTAACTCTGTAATATTATTGGGCGTTGAGAACTATTCTGTATTTTCGTTTGCCGTTAGCTTCTTCTTCTTTTCTTGTCCTGGTCCTACAGTAGTAAAGTACTATGGAGTACACCTGACTGCTTTGCAGTCTTTGTCTAGTTTTAAGGCCAATGTCTGTTCTCCAAAATCTTTTCTAGGTTTTCTATGTATCAATAGTCATAACCTATGCATGGGTACTTCTTAGCCCAACCATTTTCTTGTTTCATTGTGAGAGTTTTTCACATGCATACATTAAGGCATTGAGCTATTCTAAGATGGTGCAGCCAAGTTTGATGTCAATATGGATGTATTTTGTGCTAATTCACAACTACTTTGTATTTTCCTTACTGATTTCTAGTCCATACTTGATACTCATAGACTCTAGTGAGAAGTTATACTTCAACTGCTCTTTTATGCATTTGGTTGATATCATCTGCAAACTTTAGGTTTGATACTATTCTTTAATTCATATGAAACCTTTCTCTCTCCTTGATTGCATCTGAAGCCTCATTTAGGATTTGTTATAAAAATATAAGGAAGCAGTCAGGGGAAAGTGGAAAATCCTTTCTCACTCATCTATTGGGTGTCAGCCCACCTTAATAGCACTAGAAGTTTGGCTGTAGAGTTCTTGTAGTAGGGTGATCACTATCCTCAAGATGTAGTGCATAGTGCTGCACAATTCAAAAGAGCTGAAGGGGTATACAATTGTTGCTCTCCAGAAGGCAGAAGTGCATATATTTGAACAATGATTGTTTTGAGGGCTAAGGGAGGTGTGATGTTTCTGTGTACCAGTTTTGATAGTGATGGAAACAGTGGTTTAGTTTTTATTAGATGTTTTCCAAATCTTCTGAGACATCCCTCATAATTTCTCATTCAGCAGGGATCAACATGCCTTGAGGAGAAATATTGGTCTTGTCTGAGTTATTTAAGCATAGTAATTGAATACATAAATGGGTGCTGCATCCAAGTAACTCTCATAGCCAATACCAGGTTTTCAGCCTATTGCAGACAAAAGTTTGCATCTTACACTCTCATTTGTACCTGAATACCACTGAGAGTGGCAGTTGAGTCCACATTTCCTATGCAAGTTCATCTGATATTAGGTACAAGAGCATCATACTTTTGCTGGCATTTATTTTAGGTATGATATGGCCCTGAAGCACTTGGTGACAGTTCCCAAATATCGCCTGCATGCTCTGGAAATTGCCAAGAAAGAGGGTATGCTCTCCAATGGGATATCAGGAAAGAAGAAAGGTGGCAAGAAATCAAAGGAGGAATTAAAGAAAGAGGAAGAAGAGACTATACGTCGAATCATTGAGAATAATCTAGACATCAAGTGAGTTGTTCATTGAGGTGGTTCATGAGGATTTTAAAACCCTTTACCTCCCATATGGGGAGATTAAATGTTTTGTATGAATAGTGCTCTATTTTTGACTGGCCTGTGAAAGTGTGTCAACTCTCATGCACCTGAAACTCACTCATATTGAAGTATGTGATATATTCTAATCCATGCATTCAATGTCAACAGAAAATCTATTCTTTTTGCCTGTGGTTTCAGTGCCAGTCAAGGAAAATGCAATAAGTGCATAGCTGCATATCTTAATATCATGATGTTCTAGCTTCATCTCCAACTATTGTTTTCAGTAGAACCATTGGAGTTTCTGCCAAAGGAGGAAGATTTTTCCTGCAGATGGCTTAGTAGAAGCAATACAATTGGCTGCTGCTAAAATGGATATCCCCTGTGTTTTTCCCATTGTTCCAGAATACTTATTTTTTCTAACTCTGTTGCTACTTTGATGGCATGGCAGACAAGTGAAATATTATCCATGCTCAGTTTTCCTAAATGTCTAAACTCAAATTATCTCATTGTTCATTAAAAAAAAATCTTAATTGTGATAAATTGAGGCCTTTCCCTGGTATGCAATGTAGTGTACTCTCCTGTCATAATTGAATTTTGCTGCTGTTGCAACCATGTGCTGAAAATGTTAGTTTTTTTCATACAGAAAGTGGCAGAATGTAGGAAAAAGTATGAACCAACAATGGCCTCAGTGGCATTTGGACATGTAGCACAAATGCTGCCATTAGCAGAATCTTTTGTGTTCCTGGAGCTGTGTTTAGTAATGCTAAATGGGCATGGTGTGTAGTCACAATAGGGCTTTGATTAAGCTACATTAAGTGATCTTAGTAAATGTGCCAATTTTGCTTTTTGGGTTCCAATTCAGAATTGGATACCTCATATAATGTATTTAGCATTGCATAACTTATATTCACTTTTCAGAGGAGGATATGCCAAACCAAGTGTAAGAGACATTCTGTGGCTGCAGCTCATTCTATTCCCCTACAATGTGTTCAAATGGGTCAAATTTCAACTGACATGGCTCTGGAAATTCACCATTCGAAGACAGCCTTTGGGAAAAGAGGAAAAACTCTACCTCATTCGAAGATATCTTCAACTTAATCATGCCCAATTTGAGGTATATTCATTTCCATCCTCTTAGGTTTGAGCATTTTAACACTACCTTTAAAGCAGCAGTTACAAACTCACTCATGACATGTTCCTATAGAAAGTCATTCCTATGTGTAGTCTTTCAAATATTGTGAGTACAGGGTGCGGCAAAAAAACCTCCCAGATTTTAAAGGTCAACAAAAAAGGCATGGTAAATACTATTCAAAATTTTATTACATAATCTAAAAGTGCATGAAGTACAGTTTATTTTCAATTGGTTCTGAATATGATATCGTCCAGATGGTGGCCTTCATTCGCGATACACATTTGTAGTCGATTTCTGAAGTTTCGCATCACTCGGTGGATCATTTCCGGCGTTATTGCTGCAATTTCTTGGCGTATAGCAGCCTTCAGTTCATTAATGGGTTTTGGTCGATGTTTGTAGACCTCAGCTTTCAGATGGCCCCAAAGAAAAAAGTCACAAGGGGCGAGATTGGGCACTTGATCTCGTTACGCGGTGACGTTGGGTGGCCTGCACGTTCACCCGATCTTGCCCCTTGTGACCTTTTTCTTTGGGGCCATCTGAAAGCTGAGGTCTACAAACATCGACCAAGAACCATTAATGAACTGAAGTATATTCAAAACCAATTGAAAATAAACTGTATTTCATGCACTTTTAGATTATGTAATAAAATTTTGAATAGCATTTACCATGCCTTTTTTGTTAACCTTTAAAATCTGGGAGGTTTTTTTCCCACACCCTGTACCTGTACAGACAGAAAAAATAATTTTGCTGTGAAAGGAAATTGATTTCCTTTTGGGAGTTGCTGCTGTTTTCTGGAGTTTCTTGAAGTGCAGCATATTAAAAAAAAAGAGCTCCTTATAGAAGTAGCAGAAATGGAGACACTCAATGAACATGTCCTCATTGGAAATTGTATTTTTGACAAATTGAGGTAAGGGATGTTGTTCATTATAAGCTCCAATGTCCTCATTTGTATGGCCTGCATCAGGTGAAGGTGCAGTAGGTACAGAAACCACTGAATATTTTCCTCCTGGTGGTTGTGTGTGAGAAGACCTGGGTAACTCTCCATGTCTTGAGGACAAATGTCCTTTTTTCCTCCACCAGAGAGGGTGACAGGACAGCTGGCTGTTCCCCTCTCTGGGGGTTGTTACACTGCTGTGAGTCAGCATGCATCATTTGGGAAAATTTTAATTGGCAATTTTAAAATCAATCAAGAATGACAACATTTCCACTGGTACCCAAATATTATATTGAACAGAGCCAATTATTGGTTGGTGATAAATTTGCTTTTTAGTGTTGTTATGTTTCTTCTTCACTTGAAAAAAAAAATGAGCACAGCAGTGAGGTCTCCTTATAACTGAAATTTGAATTTATGCAGAAGAGCTTGAGAAGTCATGAGATGCAATGCAACAGTGATTTGTCTTTTGTTCTTGGGCTTTGCCAAGTTTGTTCAGCAATATTTTCTTGAATAGATGCTTGCTGATGAACATGACTCCATGCTGGCGAAGCAGCTTTGGATTTGGGACCATTTTAAGGTGAGCACTGTTCCTATCATTGCATTTTTATGACATGAATCATTGCATTCCTGAATTCACTTCAAGGTTTGGAAAGAGGAGAGAGATGAAATAGAGAGGAGAAAGCTGGCTGAAAATGCACGTTACAAGTCGTATAGACGATACATGAAGAATCATGGGCCTGGTCGGATCACCTTTGACGATGATTGAATCTCTTCTGGTGACATCTCAGAGCACATTCTTCCAGGGTGTTGGTATTATGTTATCAACTCCATGACATTGCATTTTAGTAATGGGTTTCCATGCTGTCATTAGAATGGTTAGTGAATTCTGTTGTTGCTTTGAATTCTCACTGGTATCATTTCCCATGAGTCAGGTAACTGTGAGAATCAACCACCAAGTTTATGTTCATTAATTCAACCACCAAGACTATGTTCATTTATTGCAAGTTCGTGCATGTATTATTGATTTGAGTTTCATGAATTTGAGCTCCTCAATGAGTTTGAACTTTGCTTTGGACCAATCTATAGACTCTAGAGGGAAAGGCATATTGAATTGTTTATGGCAGTTTTCTGGTTTTTCCAGGATGTTTATTTATTGTCTTGTTTTCCTCTGATTTCATTCCTCCGAGATATATGTTTCTGTGAATGGAGACAGAAGTCCACTGTGATATGGTTTCTTGATGCAGAAGAATTCATCTCAGAATAAGTTTATTTCTATTTAAGTAATTTACTTTTGTTGTTCTAGTAATTTGTTGCTTTTATTATTTTACCATTTTAATTGATGATTCCAACCATTTCCTCTTTATGTTGGGAAGATGAATTTGCCACTTGAAAATAATATGAAAATATTGAAATAGCTGAAAAAGAATCCTAAGGATCAGGATTTTGTTACCCTTGTGATTTGAGGGGCACAGGATTGTCATATGTATTTGGTTGCAGTGATGTTGGTTTTGATTAACTTTGATGTCTTTTCAGCACATGCCTTGACAAAAATTCATAATCACTGTCAAGGTAAAAAAAAAAAACTTAATGCAAATATTAAAAAAAATAGGTCTCTTCATGGCGAGTCTATAGAAAATTTTGTGATTTACCAGAAGTGAAGAAAAATCATGATGTAGGATAAGTAAATTACCATACATGTTACCATTTCTGTCTAAGGAAGCAAAATGGTGCCATTTTTGGAGGTGGTTAGATTTGTTTCTTTTCTAGGTTGACCATTGTTTATGGAGTTGAGGTCAGAGGAGCGGCAAGACTCGCTTATAGGACAGTGCTTAAAGTTACACATGTTCCATTAAAAATGTTAAGTATTCCATGCACAAGACCTCGCTATATATTTTTGTTAAGAGGCCCAGTAAAATGCTGAGTTTTGTTGGTTGCAGTACTACACGCGGCCGTTTTCTATGCACCATAAATAGATGGGGTTTATAATGGATCGGCATGTCGTGCACGTGATGCAAATAAAGCTCTCATACATGTTATTAAAACATGTATTGACTCTCTTCTTCAGCTATCATCGACAAACAGCAACGGTTGAATGCAAGGATCTGAGGTTTATGGAAAAGAGGCTTGGCAGTGTGAAAGGGTGCAGGTTCGGAGTTGAAGCAATCTATTTCCACCTCGTCTCCTTACGGTAAAACCTGCATCCATAATTTAATCCGAATTTTAGTACGTGTTTTCGCGACGAGGCCTACGCCTCTCATCAGGGCCGCCCAGAGGGGGGGGGGAGGGTGGCCAAAGGGGGCAATTTGCCTTGGGCTCCGCGGATCAAAGGGTCGCCGGTTTAGTTTTGCCCCGGGCTCCTGGAAACCTCTGGGCGGCCCTGCCTCTCATTTCAATAAATCTCGGAATGTTCCTGCTCTGATGCAGCTGACGGTAGTAAGTTGCCCAGACGTCTTGCAGGCAAGGATGGGAATCGTTTTCTTTGATACTCCATGGCTCCTGATTAGTATGCTGAAAAGAAGCTATTAAAACTTAAAAGCACGGACGCGTGTGTCACACCAGCTGGCGTTTTATGGGGGGGAAGAACTATCACCGTGAAGCCGCGCCATCCGGCTGTCCCTCTTAGTTGAGATGCTTGACAATAGATGTCCCTGGCCCGCTTATCACAACCACCGCCACCACGACCGGTGGCTTTAGAGACGTAGAGTAGTGAGAGCTGAGTGCGTGTTCGCCCGTCCTCGACTGGATGTCTTAGGACGCTTCGCACGTGACACGGACAGTTCTAATTTTCTTTTGCGAAACTTCGAATGCGGTTTTCACCATGCCTCTGACGAATAGCTCAAGGCAGAGCCTACGATTGACGGAAGATCAGTTGGAGGAGCTCTCGGAACAGTTTCACACGGTGAGCATCCTTTACTTGTTCTGATACGTTAGCTTAGTCTGAGATAACGTAAGGCTGCCTTCGATCAAGCGTAGGCCTAAGTCTATGTAGTAGTAGCATCTTAGCTTCCTCGTAGTTACCGTTTCCAAGCTCAGTAACCTGTCATGACCACTGACTGCGATTAAGATTAGGTTTTGCAAGGATGGCTGGTCAAAATAAGCAAGCTCCCTTCGCCATGCAAGGCCTGCACTATATGCTTCCAGGCCTTGACATCTTTAGCATGGCCCAAGAGCCTGGGTGCTTAGATCTGCTGATAATTAATATTGCCTTTTGGTTAATATTGGACTTTTAGGCTTTGGCCTAACCTTAGGTCTACTCTATCCATATTGGTCTTGCCATGTGTTCACAAAGGTCTACAATACATGCTCAACCAGATGCACTGTTTTTGGATAGAGTTTTCAATTTGCTTCCCCCCCCCCCTGGGTAGTGGAGAACAGCACTGCTTTATCAGATGATTCATGAAACCATACATCTGCAAGATGTCACTGCCTACAGTTAATGGAAGCTCTCCTAGTGGAGTGGTGGTGTGCATATTAAATTCATAAACAGTGTATCACTGTGTCTTTAATAGCACTCCTACTTGCTTTTCACACTAGGAATGTATTGAATCTATATCTTTTAGTGCTCAGTTGAGTTCTTTTTTCATGTTTCTGATGAGTTTTCATTTTTACTACATCATTGTTATATCTACACAATGTAGTGTATTGCTCAGAAATATTTTCATTTGGCCTCGATGCATTCAAGCCTAGCAGATTCCTTTGTTGCTGCCTTTGAGCAATCATTTTGTAGCCAAATGAAAAGCTGTCTGACTCAAATGGAAAAGTGTCACACTCAACTGTAAAACACCCAATAAAGGTGGCAATTAGATACTCAGCCTGACATATCGGAGTCAAGTGAAGCAAGTCAAACCAGAGTGAAAAGCATTATGAATGTAGGGAGACCCAGCCTTGAAGCATAATCTTGTATGAGAGCATGGTTCTCTTACCCATAGAGGCTTCCACCGTTGACTGCCGCACAGCACGAAACTGATGACATTGCTCATCTGAATAGCCCTAAATCTCCCCATTTGGAACCGTGGTGCTGATGAATCACAGTTGGCCTTGGAATGTTCCAGTGGAATGCCTTCCATTGATCTTAGTAGGCCGCAGCCGCTCTATATGTATTGGTGCAGGTGAACAGACGCCCGACACGGAGACTTGGTGCGAGAAGCGTCCGCTTGCTCAGTGAGCATGTTAAACGAAAAAAAATTGATCATGCTTCAACGCCACAAGCCAAAACCCGTTCTTAGGGACTCGGGACACCTTATGCATGCATACTTAGTAGGTGGACCGAGAGTCTGGTCGAGTATTCATGAATGAGGTGAAAGGAAGTTCATCCTTCATTTTGAAGCGGGCTCTTTCACTGTAGGAATGTTTGACGAAAGACACAGTCTAAACACTTGATTCATGAAGGCTCGACTCGTCGGATGACACGCCCTCGTCATGGCCATTGTTTGCACGTTTAAGCCTCTTTACATGCCCCCTAAAGCGATCTTTCTCGCATAATCCTCGGCTATACGTCTTCATACGTCGAGCGACTTATCTGAGGTCGAATGCGGTAGATAAAACACTCGAGCTCGCAGTGAAATGACTAATCAAAGTTGCTCTTGTTGACTGAGACTTGGGGGCGTGTATGAGGATGACTCAGTTCCGGTTCACGACCCCGTTTCCCCCAGATGATCTCATCTCCGCTTCAGAGTTTGCAATTGAGTTCCGAAGTTTCCCACCATTATTATTTAGGACCGAATGCACTAACATCATTTTTATGAGATGAAGGGGCTCCAAGATAAAGAGCTCTTGTTCCCCCATAGAGCCCATGCACAGTCAACCTTCGATATACCCGCGCTTATCGCCAACCTTTTCTTCTGGACGTATATCCCCATAGCACGGGATTTAGATAATACGATATAGCGCCAAAATCGGCAATGACCAACAGTGGTGTTATCAGTTTTCTCGTTAAGTCGCTGTTGCGAGTCCCTGACTCATGTATTTTCTTGGAGGGACTCATATTTGCGAAACATCTAAGTCCGTGGGACTCATTGACAACCACCTGAACATGTTCCCACTGAGCTGAAGCTAGGCGCCAGGACTCGAGATTTTAAACAGCTAGTGCGAACCTTGGTTATATCAAGGGTTGACCGTATTCCTAAAGGATCGTTTCCCCTTTCAGCATTCGGACTTCATTGGCTAGCTTTCGGAAGCGAAGTGCTCCCTCTTTTACGATAACGTTGCAGAAGACCGGGAAAACTTTAGTCACCACCACTGAGTCATCGCTGACGGTATCGGCGATTATTTTCGTTAGCTTTTTGAATAATACGGTCCCAGATGTCTCAGGCTGTCCTTCACTTTACCACATAAATCTGAGCCGGGTGCCGGAAAGGGGATAAAAAATGGTCACCGGCGGTGAGCAACGAGGGTGTTGAACGCACTGCGATGTAATGGATTCCGGTACGTTGCATTCCGTTTCCCCGTTTTACGCTCCTTCGTTCGGGGAAGAGGAGGAACAGGAAGAGGAAGAAAGTTGGGCGTGGAGGAGACCCACTTTCTCTTTCCGTGATCGGGGGGGAGCCGTTGCTGCTTGCACATTCCGGAGGCCGTTGAGTCAATGTCTCTGTGGGATTTTTTTTTTCTCTTGTTCTCTCTGTGTTTCGCTTGAGGGAATGCGGAGAGATTGGGGGGGTTTTGAGGGGAAGTTTGCCTTAGACCTAACTCGAGGACAGTATGCAGTCAAATAAACTCGAGTTTCAATGTTCAATTATGCAGCGACTGTAAAAATGCAGAACAGAAACTGAAAAGCCGTTTACACAGGGGAGTCTCTGGTGGCATACAAGTGGCTGGTTAATGAGTTGCTGGCTGATGCTCAACCTGCTCCGCGAGGGTCTCGTTTCGCACGCGATGCAGTGGTCCCCTGCTCTTTTCCTGGCTTTCGGGCTTTGGACTGTGTCAAAAACCCACGCTATTTTAGAACGTGTTGTCTCGGATGACGGTTCAATAGCCCACGCGGAGTTTTAGCACCGGTGTTCGCAAATGCATTTTCACCGCCTTCGGTCGATTCGGACGACTCGTGCAAAGTACTGGTCCGTAAATGAGAATTTTACTTGGAACACTTCGTGCCGTTCGTGTGAAAACGTTGAACTCCTCTCTTTGTGAAGAACGCTATATTCCCTCTTTCTACTTCGTCAAGGGGCTCTTCCATGTGGGCGTGGCTCGAATATCGTATCTCTGCTCTCCACCTGTACCCACTTCAGGCAGTCTGGTGGCTACTGGGTCCCCCCCCCCCCCCCTACCCCCCACGTTCTTGACGTTGCCTCGTTTTCAAGTTGAATAGATAACACAATGATGGAAGTTTTTTTTGGCTTGAAGTAGGTCGAATCGTGAGCCCTGTTTCGTGAAGGAGGCAGTACTTGTTCCAGATTAAATATATTTCAGCGGTTTGTTGTTTTGAGATTAGGAAGGCATTCACCCGATGATATGACAGTATTTAAATTGCGTCTCAGCATCCGGTAACGGTACCAGCACCACCTTCAAAGCATAGTTTCCCGTCCGCGTGAATCGGAATAAAAGCGAGAGGACGGGACGGAGTCATTCATCGTTGTTTCGTCGCCCTGCGGAGACACCAGCAGGAGTCGGCATATATTATTTGCTGGATCGAGAGATGAAGAGTCTTCTAACGATATGAAATTCGCTGCGATTGCAGCACGGAATTCCGAGCGATGAAAGGGGAAGAACGAGCCCTGTGCACACAAGATCCGAAGATGCGCTCGGGTTTTTCTAAAATGATGATTTGTATCAGCATTTAAGTTACAATTAGACCTATGGCGGTTTTTTTTTTCCGCCGCTGATCGCTTTCTGCTCGAGGTCGTGTTCGTTTACTGGCCCATGACCAAGTCGTTATGCCGTGCCGCTAAGCGTAACCATTTTGCCTCTTAGTCTTCTCCGCGAATGGAAGAAATATTTGGGATGAGTCGATCGACTTGGATTCTTGGGGTGTGACCGTGGCAGATGATTTTCAGTGTCGGTTTCGGGCGCGCGAAATTCCCATGATCGCTTTTCCCTTCGGAGAGGGCCGTGTTTTTTTTATATTTTGTTTTTCTCCGGCACGTAGAGGGGAGAAAGAGAACTTTCTACTAAATCCAATTATGCTCTCCGTCGTTTCCCATGGTCATCAAAGCAAATACCTTGGGCGTGAGACGGCGGCCGGATGTAATGGGAGAATCCAGATGAGAGATAAGCCTTCGCTTCTCGGAAGCGAGGGTGAGGACGCGGATGCGATTGCGATGTGAATCTGATCGCTGGGTTTTGTTTCATCCAGTTGCTTGGCATCGTGCATGCCGAGGACCGGCACTCCTTCGCAGGTCATGCTTAATGGGGGGTGGGGGGGGGCAGTGACCTTTTTCTTTTCCGGCCCAAGGAGCCGGTAGTGGTGGGTTTCGACGTTGAATTCCATCGAACGTGCTGCGGGGAGGAGTCGTTAGCGCAAATGTGTGGGTACTGGATTCTTCACTTGCACGATTTTGTTCTGCCGCAGGTTTTCTTTGTCTCCGATTGACATGTTGCATCGTGGCAATGATGGAATTGATGGATTTCATGGAATGAAAAAAAGAAGCAAGGTCTTGAATGGCGTTTGTTCCTGGTGCTGGGACTCTTTCCGATCGAAGCAAACCGGTCCTTGCTGTTCTTTTTCTTCTGCGAACCGAATCTGGGAATCTCGAAGCATACGGCCTATCCGCATATCTAACGTGAAGAGCGTGACCCTGAAAGGACTTCTATTTTCTTTCCCAGCGGTGATGTAAGAGACCGTGTGACTCGTACCGGTAGCGAGGAGGGTCCCCATACACGAACGCGTCTCGAACACGAGGTGGCATTAACGATGGAGAAAACAATCGGATCCGATCGACGGGAGTCACGAGACACCATGGTGAA